ATTGTTTTATATACTTGCTGATAGTTTTGAAGCTGAACCTGGACAGAGAGTTTTCAAGGGACTATTTTGGAAGGTGTCATTTTGGGACCCCGCCTTAAATTCTTAGGATATTGTTTGCTGAACGCACCATGTTCTACCCCAAGGCACTTGCCTTGTAACCACCTCACCTAGAATCCTACTAGAAAATCTGGCGGCCCAAGTTCTGAATGAAATGTCAACGAGGATATTATTAGTCAAGTGGTTTTCCATAATATCTTGCCTAGCTCTTTCCTTGCGTAGATGACGTCATTCTTGAGACTACTACTGAGAATAACTTATTCATACGAATTTCTCAAGAATATCACAGGAGCTACACAAGATACAACAGGATTAATGAGCAAGTATACTTTGTAGATTCTTGGTGCCTAGAGTCCAAATCTTTGATTAGTTAGCTACTCCTGTTTTTCAGCTCTTTCCGTGCTCAGAAACTTGTTTTCCTCTTCCTCTTTCCTCAACATGCCCTTCCCGATCACAAGAGCCTTGTCTTTTGCAAGGGTTTTACTGCAGGTTGGAATAAGAATACAACCTGGTATACAAGTCAGTCGATGCCCTGTACCCTACACTGCAGTTCTGCACCGTGGTTCCAATCTGCTTGATTGCACCTCTCTCTCATGTTCTCACGCCGCTCCACGTCCATGAACCAGACCTCAGATGAAGATAGTTGTTAGATATCTGATATATGTATGCACCCACCTTGCTAGACATCTTTCATCCAAGAACATCAAAAAATTAACATCGATTTTGAACTCGACCGAGAAACACCGAACCAAAAAGAGACCGAGAAACACCGTGAACTTCAACCATAGGGAAAACCTCCTGGTCATGCGGATATGCAGACTGAAGTGAGACATGAGCTTCATAGAGAAAACCAAACCATCAGGTACGAGAGAACACATGACAGAGGAGCTGTGTCAGCTTGAAATTGCAAAGCATACGATAGCAAAGAGCTGAGAAAGAGGAAAGCTTAGATCATGCGGGTTCAGCCTGAAAATACAGATATACTATACACAGATCTCAATATCGTCTTGGGTAGCTTGAGTGTCGGGACAAAATCCCAGATGTGTGGTGCAAACATATCTGATCAAAAATTGAACCACCTGGAAACCTCAGTTTTTAGCTCTTTCTAAATACCATTTGGGAGTACCCATTTTGGAGCCGTTCGGAGCTTAGGGCAATCTGAGGGTGTGCCAAAATCACATGAAGGGCTTGAAACAAAAGTTACTGGGTTTGGTGGACACAAATCCTGCCTCACCTGCGATGTTCACAACAGAGATTGATTGCCAATTTTTTTGACGACATGTTGTCAGCGCCCCAGTTAACTGTAGGGGCACGTGGCCAAAACCTTTGTTAATTGTTTTAGCATTACAAAACCCTCGCCACCACGACAGCCTTCATGTCCCGATCCCAATGAATTCTGCGATCGGCGAGGTGCAGCTTGCCCCAAAGGCCTTGAATTCCGCGCTATCCTTGGACCGGACCGAGAATGCTTATTCAAGGGCCTGGATTCTGGTTTACCACCTAGATCCCATAACAAGTGTTTCTTTCTCATCCCATTGCAGCCTTGACAAGTGAAAAGAAACAAGCAGAGCTTTTGGGGGTCAAGACTGATCCGGGGCCATCCGAAATGACGCAGTTGGTTTTGAACAACAAAGAACTGACGCAATGATCCAATCTAATTATATACTGTGTATACATAATTGGCTCCTGCCCTAGTTTTACTGTATCCTGCTGGAACTCAGATCGGTTGACCAGATGACCTCATGCTTTCCATGCTTAGGTATGGACTGGGCCGGACTGGGCCGCTCCGAGGCATGGATATGGAGACTGGCCAAACCCTTGCACGGCTCCCGCACAAGAAGACCTGAGATGCACAGCGAAGACTATCTTCCAACTCTGCGGTCCAGGGAGGAGTGGAGGGGCTGCACTGATGCACGGTTTCGAAAAGGAATTATTAATGGCTTTGGTTATGCGGATAGCATGATCTTGTGGAGGGCTATGAAGAATGATGCGGAAAGGGAGCTGCCAACTGCAATTGAGGAGGCATTCGTCCCAGAAAGAGCTAAACCAACCAAACACTCAAACAAGTTGAACAAGTTTGACTACTATGCCTGCAATGCTGTTTGTTGCTGAACCTCAAGCATTGGATTCTCAGAGCGGTAGAGAAACCATCTCTGGAGATTGTACGGGCCCTGGCCTTCTGGGAAGAAACTGACCTCGACTTCCCTTTCCCTAGTCTCAAACGCATCACCGACACCAGAAATGCCGTGAAATGCTCACCCAGCACTTCAATTGTTCCTCACTTCAATCAGGGCATCCCTTGAGGCAGGAGTGCCCGCTAGAGCTGCGTGAACAACTAAGTTGATGCTGTTGGTGAACAATATCCTGCACACCAGGCTGGGCTGAATTGTTCATTTGGGTACCCAAGGACCTCTATGCCCTGTATGTTTGAATGCTAAATCCATGTGCCTCTGGCTACTTCTGAGTCAAGTCCATGTGCCTCCTTGGACCTGCATAAAGATGTGGGCTGGTCGCAAGAACGCGAGACCTTGGTAGACCTGCGGCGGAGGGAAGGTTCCGGGATTGAACATTTGTCTTCCAAAAGTGACGTATCCTCTTTCAAAGGCTTTCTGACAGAAAGAGTAATCATTTCCGAAAGAAAACGAGGCCAGAAAACTCTAAAGACTCATCGTGCTTGCTGAAAGATTTTTTAGCTTTCGTATAGCAAGGGCTATTGGAGAGCGTCCAGCAGTGGATGGGAGCAGCAGGAATCTCCCTCGAAATGGAAGGTATTCCTTTGTGAGAGACGCCGGCCATTGATGGTGAAGAGCTGCCTGAAAGTGAGAGAAGGGATGTGAAAGATGTGGAAATCAACATCAAAAAGTGTTTGCTGTTGCTTGCCAGTGCTGATTGCTGATTTGGGACCGTGGTTTCGTGGTTTCGCAAGAGGTTGGGACCTGAACCAGCCAGAGGTTCTGATTATCCAATTCAGGATCCTGAAAAGTGCTTGTCTAGCGGTTCTGTGGATCAGGTCTGATTCAGGTTTCGGAGCCAAAGTATATACAGTAGATGAACTAGTCTGTGGAGACATTCGTGACCATTTGGATAGGTTCTTGCAGGAGTCTCTCTTTGAAGAGAATCCAAAACTACAATCATTCTAAAACCTGGCGTAGCATCTCTGTGCTGTTCTTCAAGTTTGTCCCTATTTGTTCCGAACAGTGTTAGATAGGGATGGACCATGGGCACAAAAATAAGAAACCGATGAAAACTGTTGAGTTATTCTGGTGAAATCCATTTTGGTTCAGCTGTTTATAGCCTTTGATTTTGTTGACCAGCCATTCAGCGTCCCCTCTCTGTTGGCACGCCCTTCCGTGGAACCGCCCAATCCCTTCGGCGGTGAATTCGGACCCGAGTGAAGCTCATCTTCCAAGCCCACGAGTGTGCTAAGGTCAAAGAAGGCTCAGTTAGATGAAGTATGATCAGTTACTGTAGATCTGTGGCTGTTGAGAATGACCCAGAACTCAAGAATATGTGGCTACCAGGTAATTTGAGTATATCGGCAACCACCCCTTTGACATTCCCATGCAAGTATATGAGAATGTTCGACAGAGCTGTTCTTTGAAAGAAGTCTTGCACCCAACGCACCCAAACTCTGGTGGTCTTCTCAAATCTATACGATCATTTGAAGCTTTGTCCCTGAAGTTTTTGGTTTGCGTTTGGAACCATTGGCCATCTTCAAGCTGAGATTTCAAGATCTAATCTATATATGTCGCCCCTGAGGAAACAACCCAGAAAAACTAGAATTGGACCAACCAGTTGACCAAGGAGTTTTCTTGAGGGACTTGTCAAGACCGAATCATGAGTGGATGCGTTGGCCTTTTCCCGGGTCTAAGCGATGTGTTTTATAGTGTGTTTTCATGCAAAAGCATCCTCAAGAACTGCTTCGCATGTTAAATGAAGTCAATGCGAGGTGAATTTAGACCAATACCCCAAGGCAGTTGACGTGGTTGCATCATATTAGCCGTCCATGTCTTGACCTCCAAAGTCTTTTGGGGAATCAAACCTAATGGTCAACGAGAGAACTTGCTACTCGGCTTGGTTCTTTGGAAGAAATTGTCAGTGGATCTGAGGGAAGTACCAGACACCTGCTTAAAGCAGCTTCCGACACAAACCATAGTGGAAATTCTTGAGTCCATAGAAATGATATGGGGCCAGTTTAGCGAGATGAGATGGGATGCGTGCCACGGTTGGATTTATCTCCTCAGCATTAAATTACATCACATGTTCGAGGCCATTTTTGGTGACTTGGGTCCATGGCTTACACGCGCATCTTGTGTATCGAGCATCTATAGAGAACATGAAAAGGTGCGCCCATGAGATCGATCGATTGGATAGTTGTCCATTCCTTGGTGCTCGATTGGTTGCCTACGATCGAAACCGAATTGGAAACCCATTGAATGAACGCATGGTCACCTTGGTGGATTTCTGCATTTCACCCAGTCAGCACACGGACATGGAAGCTTACCTGTTTGAAAGATAACTTGCTCAACAAACTCTGTGCTTCGGGTGTCCATTTTGTGTGTGAGGGGAACAGTCTGGGACCCGACTTGCAAAAAGGAATTTCCCAGGCTTGCTGGCTATTTCCACCACAGCCAACACTTGTAGTTTGGGATCACTGTGGTGAGACCTTTGTCATCCGTTGTTGATCTAATATTAACTTGTTCGATCACTGTATTAAACTATTAAATACGTGATTATCGTTCAGCTGCTTTGCATCAACTGCTATTTGTGTGTGTGTTGGTTTGTGCGCCATGACGGTGGAGCACGCCCAGACGAAGGTGGCCTACTGTGGATGAGTACTCTAACGGTATCCAAAAAAGACCGTCTTCCAAGGGGCCAGTTTCCACTTCACTACTGGTAGTCAAGCGGAGTGTCCTGGTTGAGTTCACCTAACTTTGGCCGAGGAAAAGACGCACTTCCGACAGCTGATGGAGAGGTGCCCACTACAGAGGCCGAATCTGATGATCCGAAGCAAACCTATTGTGCATTTCACCAAATGGTTGGAACCTAACAGCATATAACCCGAGATCTTCCTATGAACGTAATGGCATTTAGCTGCAGCTGCATCTCTGCAAAAAGCGCCCAAGAGAGTTCTAAACATGTGTCAAGAGCAAACAAGCCCTATGACCTGGAGCCCCTAGCCATATCGAAAAGGAACCAATTTTGTAACCCCAGCAAGAAGGAAACATGCGTGGCCTGAAATTGTTTGAATGGAGAATAGAAACCTCCAACGTACCAGTGGTGATCCAAGACTTGACTTTTGTGCTACTTTCTATGGGTTTAATCAGCTGCATACATTTTACTACCAAATTATTGAGTATCGCGCAACAACCTTCCATAAGCCATCGCAGTTCATAGCTGGTCCAGATTTGTTACCTTTAGCAGACCCCAGAGGTCCGGGCTGTCATGTTGACGTTATTAGCTTGATGACTCCAACAACATTACACAAACTACGTGGAGAACCGAATCCCCAACAGCCCTTGAGGTAGACGAGGTTTACCTCGTTAAATGTCCACTAACGATGCTATAGATGCTAAAGTTGGTTGACTCGTGGTGAAATGAATAATATCCAGACCAATCTCGTCAGGGACACCTCTATTTGCCTTGTGACAGTCCCGGGAGCGCAGTTGATTGAAGGTAGCGAAACTCTAAGCTTCAGAAGACTGAGAAGCGATGGCCTCCAACCTACTAGCGATGGCCTTCAACCTAATAACAGAAGACTAAGGCAACAACCTAGCCGACGGAAGTGTCGCTTGACGCGTCCAGACGAAGGCGCACGAAATCCACGCGGCCAGGATGTGGAAGGAGCTTTTTGAAAGCAGTGACTTTGCCAAGCGACATGCAGAGATTCAAGAGCTGCTGGGGCCGCACGTTCAGAGGACATGATAGTACCAGTAGAGGACATCACGTTCCAAGGCCTCCAGGACGATGGGCAATCATATCGTGTTCCGCACTGGCACTCTTAACCGCTCTTGACAGTAGCAGGCACTGGGTCTTCAGCCACTAGGTTCTTTTCAGATATTACGATCTAGTAAAGTGGGCCGAGGGACGGGTTGGAATTTCAAGACAAGTGAGGAGCTCAATGATGATTTTGAGGTTGGTAGCAACTCAACCAAGTGGCAACCAAAACACAAAGCTCAAATCAGGCTGGTGGTGCGGCCTTTTCACACCATCGTAGGCATGGCTCAAGTAGCTCGGAGCAATCCGAAGCGAAAGGGCGGCTTGGCCCAAAAGGTTCCGCGGGCGCTTCAAACAAATCTTGGCCCAGTCGTGGGCACACACCTTGCAAGGTTTCAAGGTGTACGTCACATTCGCAGTGCCCTGCTTGCACACTGGTAAGGCGCATGCCAGCAGGCTCCATGGTTCGTGTGGTGGATCTCCGCATCTATTGCATAGCGGACGCACTGTCGATCGTGTACCTCTCGATGGGCTTGGAGCTCCTGGTCATGTCGGGCCTTCAGGTGGGTCGTCTGGCGCGAGCTTCGTCTGCAAGGTGGCAACCTTGGTCCCCAGCTCTTTCTTCCGCTTGCGAAGGAGATCAGGTGTATTCAGTCTGGGTCTCAGCATCAACATAGAGATCATAGAGCTCTTCATTCTGTGTTGCAGGAGAGGCGGCTATGGACTTCCTGGAGGTGGCACAGAAATGCCAGGCTGTGTTCACAAGCGAGGCCACCAAAATGGCGAAACACGCGAGAAAAGTGAAGTTCTGATTGTCAAAGTAGTCGGATGGTGGCAGGTTGGTGGAGTGTCGCAGCCGTAGAGAGGCTAAGGGCGCGGCCTGTGCCATTGGCTTGTCACTGCATAGCGCATTTGGCTGTCTTTGCGCTGCTCAATCGTTTTCTTCTTTGCCGCTGTGAGAATGGGGTCTGGTCTCAGGCATGTTGTGTCGTGTGGCTGCGAAGTCGTTGTGTCAGAAGTCCTGCGGCACTTTGCTTTGTGGAGTCATGGCATCCACGAACTGTAGCTCGCTTGACACCCATGCTACACTGGCTCCAGTGCAAGACCATTTGTCTTTGGTGACCAACACGTCATTTGACCAATACGTCGCGCGAGGCTTTTGCATCGATCACCATCTTCTGTGGGTGTTGGAGCTTAGCCGTGTTGCTGTCTTCAAGTGCAAAAAGGGGACCAGATCAGTTTCCAAAACGCTGCGACGTGGGCTGGCCTGGACAGTGGATGATGGTCCTTCGAAGGTCCTGGAAGTTGTGATGAGGCGCTAGGTGATGTTTATGTTTGGCGACCTCAATGTGTAGGCTTCGGTGTTTGCAGTGCTGTCTTGCTGGGCTAAGGCATTGTAGAGTCCTCCTTCTGCTCATGCTGTAGATGAGCTTCTCGAAGGAGGTTCAAGGCTGTTCCACCCGAGCGTCGTAATTGAACGTGCGGTGGAAGTTTATGATGCCCTCTTGTGGTTTCTTCTGCAACACCATCTTCTTCTGGTAGAGGTGGATGCGAGCCCTCCTTTCCTTGGAACCTGCAGGTCTGTTCAAGAAGGTAGGCGCCCAAGAGTCTTCGCTCGCATCAACATTCTGCACCGTAGTTGAACTTGCCATAGCGCTCGCCGATCTCGAAGCAAATCAGTAGCGGGCCCTGGCTGGGGTCCTGTGGCAATTTGAGGTTGGTAGCAACTCAACGAAGCTTGGTCACCCTCACGAAGCCGCAGCCAAGACACAAAGCCCAAATCAGGCTGGTGGGGCGGCCGTTTCACACCATCGTAGTCGTAGGCATGGCTCAAGTAGCTCGGAGCAAGCCGAAGCGAAAGGGCGGCTTGGCCCAAAAGGTTCCGCGGGAGTCGCTGGCCTGGCATCATGACGAGTCATTCGATGGCGTCGAATTGACAATAATATAATGGTTCCAATTTTGCTACTATCAAGAAATTGACTGGAGGCTGGAGGCTCTTTTGTTTGTTGACCTCGGCTGCATGCGCTTTAGGCCAACGACATAGAGCAGGTGCCGAACGCAGCGAAATAACTCCCAGCTGTCACAGTGGCTGGCCTCCCATGGGTTGGCTCTCTTAAGCGCACAACAACCTCATATTGATGAGGTGTCGGAAGGGTGGACTAAGAGTTTGGCACTAGGTGTCTTGCCATAATTGTTCACGATAGACTCCAGTAAACGGAGCTTGCCCCAAGTGAGAATGCCCGCCCTCCATAAATGGTGTTCCCTTGTTCGCATATCAATCTCTTCCGAGGTTCAATCGCCAGCACCGCTGGCGGAAGTGGGGGCCCCGCAACTAGCGGACAGAATGCGGAATGGCCCGGAACAGCTGTTTTTCTTGTTGTTGTTATTGTTTTTTAAACACGCGGCCCTGCCTCCTTAATTAAGTAGGTGCCTACTTATTATAGCACCACAGCAACATAGAACTTCCTTGGAAAATTATGCAAGCAAAAAGGATTACAAGGTAAAAAGAGGGCGGGACAAACCAGTGTGCTTGGAACCGGGGATGGCTCTAGTTGAATTGTTGTCAGAACCTGGCACTAAGTTCCATGTTTCTAGACAAGTGTTGCGATCAGAGCCTGGTTCCAGGCTGGCAGAAAGCTGTTTTCAAAGGTTCAGGTGAAGAGTTGCGATCGAGGGTTCCATGGTTGGCAAAATCGTTTCTTGTTCTCCACGGTCCCACCAAGGTCCCAAAGGCGCCATATAGTTTTCAGCTGGTGGGGTCCATCCCTGTCACTTTAGGGGGTTCCTAGTTTCCGAGACAAAACACAACAAAACCATTGGAAAAATCCCAACCCTCCAAGTGTTAAGCTGCCTGCCGAGGCGAGGCTTGGCGCAGCTGCCAACAAAGTTTGGGATCAGCTTTACAGCGAAGTTCATGAATCAAGCCCGGAACTTAGGTTCACTTCCTCAGCCCCACCCTTGGCATCGTGTCTTGGAGTGGGAGTTGTAGGCAAGCGGGTCTTGGACTGCTTCAGTCGTTAGGACTAGCTGCGTGCTTTTTGAGGTTACAGCCTCGGTGTTTGACTGGTGGGTTCAAAGGCTCGATCCGTCCCATCTCCTCGCTTGTCCGTAACCAAGGTCAAGCACCAAAATGCACCACTTACAAACACCATCGATTACTATCCTATTGGTCCCCTGATGTCCAATGCCTAACTGTGGGAGCTTGGTCTAGGTTCTTCCGGGACTCATTCCACCATTTCACTACGCCTTTGGCCTAGGCGGGTGCACTGGTCCATGTCTACACCGATGGCACCGTCGACGCCCCCAGAGCGTCGTCGGTGGTGACGGACTGGCTTGGCATTTCGCATTTGAGCGTGGCAGACTTCGTCCAGATTTGGTTTGAGACAGCAATGAGTTTCCTAGACCCCAGCACTCGAAAGATAAAAACGCAAACCCTGAACCTGTGTGGATTTATGACAATGGATTTGCCTTCTGTTTGCGCCAGGCCAGTTGGTACTGACCTTGTTAGACCAAAGTGTTGGTGAACCTATTTGGTTCTTGTGTTCCTAAAGTGAGGTAGAGCAGAGTTTGGGTTTAGCTCTCACAAGATCCAGGTCGCTACCAGTGAAGAAGGTCTCAAAGCCGAGCTGTGAGGAACCCGACCCGAAAGTCTAGTGATGTTAGGAAGATTCTTTTGTGCAGGGGATTGAGGTTCAAGGCAGGCGATACCAAGGATCGTGTTTAAACTCAAGGAAGGTGTGTTTTGAAAGTCCATGTTTTTACGGGAACCCTAGCCATATGGGGCAAGCTCTCTGGCTCCGAAGCACTGGGAAAAAAGACAGTGCAGCCAGTTTTGCAGATCAGGGTGTTAGGGGTGGGACTCAGGAAAGTCTTTCAATCTATGAGTCTATGCGTATGTTTCGCTCTCTCCAACTTGCTCGATTTGCACACCATTTTGCTTGTATCATTGGGTGTCACAGCCCAAAGTGATCCACACCATTCCTAAGCGTCCCTGGCAGTCCTTGCACTTTCAGGTTTTACTGACCCATGGCGGCACCGAGATGGGCCAGCGCCCAAGAGTAGAAGCTTTTTAGGCATGAATGGGGGTCAGGGACCAGATCAGTGTAGCCAAGACCGGTTGGGAGTTCTTTCAAGACCATCACCAGCCGTATTTGGCCGTAATCGAGCACAAGAGAGGTGTGGCATTGTAACCTCTTCAACCTGCAGTAATACGATGGTGTTCTGTGAGAATTGGATGCCTTCCAAATCCATGGAGCTAAGCTTGAAGGGAGCTTCATTGCGGTGTTATACGAAGTCTTGGGTCTCTAATTGGGGAAAGTCACACAGCGACACCTATATAGACCTGAGGAACGAAGACACGTCGCACGTTGAATGGGCTCTTACCTGCTTCTTCGTTGATTTTGCACAGTGAGTGAGGTCAGGGGCTCCACACCAAGATCTGCCAGATTGCGGTCCTGCACTGGAAGGGGGTCGAACGGGGTGAGCTGGATGTCAATCTCAAGCTTTGGTCAAGGTTGTGCTTCCGGTCAGTGAGTCAGTGATGTGTAAATTCCACGGATCGAGACCACATCCTGACAGCACAAAAACCAGGTGGTGAGCTTATGTAAAGATTGGATTGGCAAAAGCCGTTTGTTGCGACTCCATGAAATCCCTATTAGACTTTCACCCGCTTCCAAGATAGTGGATGTTGCATCTTGAAATCGACATTTCCTGTTGCACTTGTTTGATTTTTGCAGTTTGCTCAGCCTAGAGTACCTGGCCAAAATAGAGGAACCTTGAATGAAGGACAGTGGAACAACACCAAAAAATATATATGACATATAGAACAACATTGACCACGACCGATGCTCTCTAAGAAAAAAAGAATTACACCAGCATCGACAAAGCGAGATTGTAGCAAGGCTCGTGCTTTTGGCATCCCCATGGAGGCGTTCGGGCAGTGAAGGAAGGCAGTTGAGGAGATTTGACCATGTCTAGGTCCTAGGTTTGTCCATGTTTGGAGCGGTTTCTATGGGTGAGGCTTTGACCTATCTTTTGCCAGGAAGAGCATAACGTCCACCCCACGCAGTACATAGACCCCGACTTATTCATGGATTCAGATCATAGTGCTTCAGAACGTCATTCGGCCATGGGCCATGTGTTTTAATCTTCGGAATGCCGTTTGGACCGGTCAGACTCAGCCGTGGGACGGCTCAGCATAAGGTGACCAAATTTCGGGTGTTTGGGGTTTGAGTCGTTTTGAGGCTTAGTTCTCGGACCAACATGAAAAGAGGTGGGATCCCAAAAGAAACTCCATCCGCGAAACATGTCATGAGTTGGCTTCGCCGGTTTCACAACCAAAGCCTCCAAATGGACGATCATGGTCATAGACAAGATCCAGCTAGACTGGCTGTTAGGTCTCCCTTCTGATCAGTCATCAGGGGTCGACTCTGTGATTCCATTCACCTCCAAGAATTGTCGACAGAAAATATTATGATGGACGTATTGAAAAATGAAAAACCTATAGAGATATCCTACAACTTGATTGAAGGTCCTGTGTTGAATCCTGGCATGAAGATCCCTGGTTCCCGCTGAACGGAAGGCGGTGGCCTTCCGTGAGACGGGCACCGATACGGTGCCCAACGCCTCCCCGACCGCTGCCTCGGCCTCCTCGGACATCTACGGATTCTTGGCGCACTTCTACGGATTCTTGAGCAGACAATCGTTCCTCGAAGATCCTAGAAGTACCAAAACATTGGGATTATGTTCCTTGCCCAAGTGGAAAGAGGGGCCTTATTTGCCCCGCACATTTGGAAATAAAATTGTCACTGATCAGAAACATGGCTAGCTTTTGTATTCCACGTGATTTGTGACCGTCCCACTCCAAACCATATTTATTCCCATGTCAATCAGCCAGCATGAAGGTCTTGACACCAGGTCTTTACCGTAAACATGTCTAGGCTTTTTTCACCGCAAGGGTTGTCCCCTCCCGTTTCAGGACGGTGCCAGGAAAGAGGTGAATGTGAAGATCAGTGTTTTTCACATCGAGTGGGAGGCCTTTCCTCCTAGACTCGCCCTCATTTGCAGAAGGGAGTTTGCAGGACCAGCGGGGAATGACCGGTGGGTGTTCCGACCGCCCGGATGCAATGATGCACCCCACTGGTACTGAGGCATGGCCACCCTGAATGCTTGCGAGAAGATTAAGAGTCGCTTGCAGTCCCGGCCTGAATGATGCATATAAACGACGTCAGCAAAGTAGCAAAGCTGAGAACAAAACTTATCCTGGTCACGAAACCGTCATTTTTTCCTCCCAAGAATCACCACCGATAGTGCAAAGAATCAAGGAAAATGCGAAAAGAAAACGAGAACGTAGAGAGCGAACATGTGGAGCCTGTGATCAGGATGCCATGTTTTCATATTAGTGTAACTATCATGTTTTGGCCATGTTTGATTCAAGGCAGTTTTGCGAGGTTTCAGCCGGTTTCAGCCCTTGAGCAGAATTTCATACCAACTATTGACATTCAGCCTTTCAGCCATTTAAGAGCGGGCACTGCGTTGGGCTATATCAAAGGATTTCCTCTAGGAATCGAGGATCTAGACTGTTTAGGGCTCTTTACCTCACACCAGAACAGGTCGTGACCAGACAGGGCGCATTAGAACCCCTGTCCAGGCACACTCGCCCCAAAAGTTTTCTGCATTGAAGTTGTAGCGTGATGTCCGTCTACCAAGATGCAAGAGAAGATGGATGAAAGCCTCCCGTGCACTGGTGCACAACCGAAAGCTTTTGCTAAAGAGGCGGGTAGTGGCAAGTACGGTTTCTTGTGTAGCCCTCCTATTCCAAACAACTCATGCCTGCAATTTTGCTTTGTGCCGACCAAAAGAATCCCATCAGGCACATTGAGGGTTGCACCTATCTTTGCTTCTGAAAGCCGACTAGAAAGGCTCAACCACTTCAACATGGATGGAGGTTGGGGTCACCCTCTGGCAGGGCAAGGTCAACTATGCACCTGGATTTGATAGAGGAGTACTCCAATCACCAGATGTTTCAAGTATGACGACCATTTTGGAAGCCAAGCTTTTTCTTCAAGTGATCCCGGTGTCTTCCACACGCTCTTCCAGACATCTCGTGGGTTCGGAACGACCTCAGCTGAGCTGACAGCTGATACAGCTGAGATGGCCGAGGCCATATTTGGCGAAGTTTCCGGACTTCAAGAGTTGGAGCCTCAAAGCCTTGAAGCTGGAGGACTCGAGCTGGTCCTAGATGGGTATGCTGTATGGGCATGCTCACCTAGATTTCTTCGACTGGTATGCTGTATGCTGTACTGGACATCCGTTCTATTGGTTTTATGACGTTGATTTAGATTCCCTCACAAACCAAAAGAATATGAATTTGGGACAATGCGGACATGGGTCCTCCAAGAAATGACAATCTTCCAAAGAGCATTGTCCCCTTGTGCTTTTGAATTTGTGTGTATGAGCCAGAGCATGCTGGCTGACCTGGATGGGCAGAGGAAGCTGAATGTATTCACAAGTGTCGATTGGTTTTGCGGGCTCTGTGTGGAGGTTGTAGTGGTGGCAGCGCAACTGCTGGCCATGGAAGAGCATCAGGAGTAGTTGCTACGCTGATCAAGCTTAAGTTTGACAAGTTCAGGTCAAGATCAAAGGTGTCAAATATCGCGGGGCATTGCACGTGCCAAAAACGTTGAGAAGTGGCCAGCAGTAGTGGGGTTGCAGTGCGGTCAGACACAAGCGGAGCATGAATACTCCTTGTGAAGGACAAACGGTGAGTAAAGAAGATGGGAAAGCAACATGCCAAGAAGACTTTGAGTCCTTCTCCAGATGGGGTCTACTGCCAACGAAGCTGCTCATGAGTCGGGAGGATATCGGAGCTGATCACTCCGACGTACCTGCGATGTTTGTGGTGTTCACAAGCTGTCACTCTCATCTTCCATAAAGGGCTAATGTATTCTGCAGATGTGAGCGACCGCCGTCATTTCGTCCTGTCGTCGCTTCGTTACCTCGTGGATTGGACCTTTGGCCTGAGATGATCAGACCCCCTTACATGCCTTCTCAGGAATTTGGGTGCCTAGGCTGCCGTGTGGCGAGCGGCATTCAGTTCAGTACGCATTTCCTAAGTGTGTCTCTGTACCCGAGGAGTGTTCCTGTGGCCCCGTCGAATGGGGGCTTGTCCATGCTCCCGTTGCTTGGGAACGTACGTGTCCAGAGCGGACGGAGTAGTCTTGTAACAAAGCTATTTGCCGAGACTTGATGAACTATTGAGAACAAGTAGGCCGCCACCGGGCATGCCACTACGTGACCATAGCGGTCAAAGCTTTGGCACGGCGCCACGTGGCCGCAGCGGCCGAAGTTCTCTCAAGACCCATTGGGGCCTGTCGGAACCTTAGGCGCACACACAGCGTGTACTTTTCTTGAACGAGGCTTTAGGTCTACCTAGGCTTTCCCTAATGACGAGGTCTGGCTTCGTTGGTTTCCAGTTTGGTTTCCCCTTTCATCCTATCCCCTTTACACAAATTCCTTTCGTTCTTCGCTTCATGGCCTTTCTTCATCTCATCCCGTTCGTTCTTTTGTGCGCACAACGGTCCGGCCCTTAGCATGTACGTGCACACTTACCTTCAACTCAGGCTTCAGGTCGCCCAGGTCTTGACAATGAGGTCTGGTTCATTGGTTGTCCTGTGCATTTGGTTTCCCCTTCATCGCAACCACATACACTGGTCTTGTCTTGTCTCCTTCTCATGTCTTCATCTTTTTGTCTTCTTTGCGCACACACATGCACATTTGCTTGCCCCTTAGTTTTGGGGCCCCAACACGTGGAGGGCGCGTGTGTGTGTGAAACCCTTGGAATCACAGGGAATCAGTTGATTTGCTAGCAGGGGGCAGTAGCCCGCTCATGAGTCTACTACCAACGAAGCTGCTCATGAGTTGGGAGGACATCGGAGCTGATCATTCCGACGTAAGCTGTCACTCGCATCTTCCATAAAGGGCTAATGTATTCTGCAGATGTGCGTGCCGCTGTCATTTCGTGCTGTCGTCGCTTCGTTGCCTCGTGGATTGGACTTTTGGCCTCCTAACGACTAGAGATGATCAGATCCCCTTACATGCCTTCTCAGGAATTTGGGTTCTTAGGCTGCCGTGCGGCGAGCGGCATTCAGTTCAGTACGCATGTCCTGCGGTGTGTGTGTGTGTGTCCAAGACATATCCGGAAAAGGTATATTTTATATTTTATATACAAATAGCTCATCAACACCGGCCAATCTTTGATTGCTTGCTCCCCCTTTGCCCCAACTTTGATTAGCTTGCTGCTCATTGCTGGCTCTATCGTTTTGTTTCTTCGCCTTATTGAGCCCTTCCTGTCTATGTTAACTGAATTACACTCCGTGTTTTCCATTCGCTTCTTCCTGTTTTTCTCTCGTTAACGATTGCCCTTTTCTTCACGAGTTTTTCCTATTCTCACCGAGCGTTCTCTTTTGTCCAGTAGATTTTCTTGTTCTTGCTTAGGCTTAGCTCTTTCTCTTCCAAAGTGTAGCTCTTACAAAGAAACAAATATAGAGGGCAGAATCTTCAGAATAGAAGAAGCAAGGCCAGACGCAAGGGAAGCTCCCCTTCTTATTGAACTCTTCCAGTATCTTCCAGTCATACGCTTAATTTCCAACGTCATGTGTTTCTTTGACTCATCCCCTTGTCCTGGTCTTGATCGGCTTTTCTTTTGCTCCAATGCATTTCTATTCTCCCGTATCTCTCTCTCTCTCTCTCTCAGCCCTCCCTATTCAATTTTGTGTTTCTTTTGCTTTTGTTGTGTTGCTTAGCTATTGCTGTTGTTGGTTCTAAAACAGCATGTCTCCTTTATGATCTACTACTCGTCTTTGTAAAAATCAGTATAAAGCTATATAATGAGAAGAAACAAACTACTTGAGGAAGTTGCAAAACCATGGTCTGAGAATAAGGAGAGCTCGCCAAAAAGATAAAATAAAGGTCATCTTAGAATCCTTGCAGAGATTCCTACGGGTTCTGCAGTTTTGGTTGTGTGTTGTTTGCATATCCAAAATTTATTTATACTGATCAAAACTGTCCATATACTGCATGCAACAACAACCCTTCCTGATCAAGACATCATGCATGCACTTATCCACTTCACCCTTGGCAAAGCATAGGTTCAATGATGCATACTGCGGGAGAAAGGCCAAATGAGCCAAAACCATAGGTTTGCTCTAAAAGGCGCTTTTACAAGTCAATCTCTGTATGTTCCCACCAAAATCTAGAAACTAAGTCATCTGCGTCCTTAGGTCGTAGTTTTTTCGTTATTTACTTGTTACTAGCTAGGCGCAGTGAACGCCGCCTACATGGACCGGGTGGACCTCTCGGCCCACGGTTTCTATGCCACGCCTGGCATCGGCTGCTCGGTCTCCGGAACGGGTAAAGACCAATCCAAAGAAGTCATCGTCGAAGTTTTCGATTTTCAGTGTTGCATGACAGTATGGTACAGCAATTGTGGGAATGAGAAATGCAGCCATATATTGGGGGGTTGGTTCTTTCAGAATGTGTCGATGAAGAAAAGTGTTCACGACCAGCTGTAGGGAGTGCCGGCTAAAGGCCGTTCAAGGGTTGTTTCGTACACCCTGTTTCGATATTATTGGAGTCGATAGTAATTTGATAGTAGATAGAAAGGTATTTGGATAATCTTGGCCTTGTGCGGCAGGAATAGATATACACAGAGACGTACAACAGACACACATGTGTGGTGAAACCGTTGGTTGTCCGTAACAAAATGCACTGTCCATGTGCATTCCAAACACTGGAAGTGCTGGTATGTTCGAACTCCTAATTGTGCCCTGGACACCTGTACATTGAAGTTGCGTGCTTAGGTTGTTGCATTTTGTGTTTCAATGATGCTAGATGTGAGTGGGGAGATCACTACCTGCTGGACAAAAGGATTGAAACATCTCCATGGTTTGAGGCTATGACTGGTCCTTGCCAGAAGACCAACGAGGCAAAAGAACGAGGGCAATCGACGAAGTGCTATGCTTGCGGTTGTGAACACACTGGACTTGCTGAGGGGTTGAGGTATCAGGTATTTGTGATGTTTCGTCTATTTGGATGATCATCCAAAAAATTGGATGCAAATGTTCCAATTAACATGGGAGTGCGAGTGGGCAGACCCAACTTGTACAGGCAAATTGTTTTGCGGGAAGCGCTTTATTGGTTTTGACCGAAGAGCAGAGGTGCTTGCGCAAGATGTCTAGCTACTCGTACAAAGTGAGATGACCATGCATGCAAGAATCCACCGAAGAGCACAACACATTGCAACAATGAAAAAAAATGTGTGGGATGATTGAGTCTTGACGTTTGAAACTGTAGCCAGGAGGGCTAGAACACGCAAACTCCACGCAAACTGGTGATGATAGGATCAATCGAAGTGTACAGGAGAAAATCTGTGAAACAGTGTGTTTATAAAGCAGCACTGCTCGGGTGTGTGCCTGTTATTTTCGATCGGATTGTTTTGCTGGTAGGTAGTTGCTGTTTGTCCTCCAAAAAGTTGACATTTGTTGTACACTCAGATCTCTCGTGGATTGAAGACTTTGTGTGAGCGTAAGTTTGCAGGTACAATTTTCATGCTTGACTGTAGCAAACCATTTCCACAAGTCTTCGCTGTCACAAAAGTCCCATTTTCTGCATCCTTTCAGAGGAAGAAGCACACATCTCATGTCTTTGTTTCAGCACAGCCGCACTCCAGGGAAGCCATTCAACTACTTTACTTTTGGAGCTGCATGTTCAGAAGTGGAGATCGATGTCAGAGGGCCAAGTGATTGTGGTTTTGCTGGGGTCAGGGACCAATCAGAAAAACCATCGATGTGATATGTTTGTCTTAAAATCTGGGAGAGGATAGTTTGTGGTCTACTACCTCCAGGCAACTCTGCAGTTTGTGTTGAACACAATATGGAAGGAGTACCTTTGATAGTGCTGCTACAGTAATTCAGCAAAGGTCCGCCAAATCGTTGCAATCTCCGACTATGACTATGGTTCTCGTGGTCAGTTTTTTCATGCGTGACTGAATCTCGACAAGCTTCATCCATGTTATTGTGCCCTCGTATGAGGCAACGAACAAGGCAATGGCGGCGCTAGCGACTGTGGGTTTGTTGATGTGTCGGTCTACGTTGCTTGATCATGAAACCACACGTTTAGAGCAGCGCTTTTGCGAGGAACCATTGAAATGACGTGAAAGGGAGAGGCTGGAAACACCGTTTTTTGAAGAGGTTTTGTTGGTTCTTTATTCTTTCCGGTGGCCCTGCATGCCAACAAACGAAATTCACATGTATCATGTACCCATGTTTTCACGGACGGAGTCTCGTGTTTTCGCTGCGGCACAGTTGGCTGACTGCCGCAGAGACATTTGTCTTTTCCTGCTGGAAGCACCAGGAACGTACATACCGTTCTTATTGTGAAGCTGCTTCGGCAAGTAATTATGACTTCAAGTCTTGCCAGTCCAGAGCTTCTGCTTCACAACCCGACAACGTGTTGGCATTTAGCCCCCACCCAATCGCAAGCAAAATGGAGAGGGAGGGAAAGGTAGAGAGGAGAGACTGGAGACCAGTAGAGAGTAGAGATCCTAGATCAATGCACCACAATGCCAGTGAGGAGTGGAGTCTCCAGGTGTTTGATCGTTGGTGGTCACAGGGCCCAGTCAGACCCAACACCTGGAAATAACGGCTCAGATACTGTTCAGTTTGAAAGCACCTGGAACATAAATAGCTAGCTAGAAACGAAGAGCGCATGCATCAGTCAGGAAGTTTGGCTGAATAGTGGCCAAGGCCTTATTTTTGGCGGGATGATCCTGGAGCCTTGAGTCGGCCCAAAAGTCTTCTGTTGGCAATTTTTATCCCTGGTGGATTGCATGTACCTGGCATCTCCACATCACATGCATGAATCCCGTGGCAATTAATGTAGATGATTGCGGTGTCGGATATCCCAAGAAGTCAGTCTTGCAGAGTAGGTGGTGACATTTGCGGTGGAATCCATGCACCTTCAACTCATTTGAGGTCTTGACTGGCGACATGCGAATTTTGAGTGACTTGATCAGGAGGGCTCTGGGAGAGCTTCTGGGATTCGGTGGCTGACATGGAAGAAAGTGCGTAACCCCTGGTGAAGCAGGTGTTTCAGACGATGTGGCCTGAATCGAAGCAAGTTCAACATGGAAGGTTGATGACTCAAGGACCGTAGAGATGGCTCGCTTAAGCAATGTAGTGACTATAAAGAAATAGTGTTCCATCATGACGGGGTGGATACTACACATTTGTCTTCACTTCTGTGGATAAGCCAGAGGAAGTTACACCAAAGCTCTTCGCTCTCGTCAGAATCGAAGTACCCTGATCTTGTAAACTCCGAGTGGTTGGATGGAAGATGATGGAAGCCTGGAGAGCGCAAGGATCGATTTGGATGGGCATTTGGAAGCAAAGGATTCGCAGGCTCCAATTCCCTTGGTTGCGCCGGCAACCGGACGGACGCCTAAGTGCTTGTTGAGTGTGTATATATATATATACAATTATATATATATGTGTGATACATGTACATTCATATATATATATATATGTGTGTGTGTGTGTTTGCCCAGTTGACAGAGAAGAACCCAGGTGACGCCTACTGCTTTAATTGTGTTCGACACACGAAACAACAAGACATCAGCAGCATCTCTTTTTTTGCCGGTCCAAGTATCAGCCTATGCTCCCAACATGGACCCCAAATTGTGAACCCCTTTTTCCGTCGCAAAGCAGCCGTGCCTTGTGGTCCTTTTCTATGTTCTGCAGTCGACCGCTTGTCGACAGCTGCTCTGAGCTGAGGATCTGACATCCTAATGGATGTGGGCAACAGCCTCAACCCAGCCATTGACATAGGCTGGCCAGATTGGACAGAGCAGCCAACTTGACGTCATGTTCGTTCTTGTACTGGTAAAGAAAGACATCTATATTAGAATCTATAATAATCTATATAAATCATAATGCAATGGCAGTATTGTTACAGGGATGCAGCCTCAGGGTTCAATACTGCATTATGCAAAAGAGAAGTCACGGGAAGGACAGGGAAGGGAGAGCATTGGAGCTGGGTTACGAAAAGAGAAGATGCGACGAGAAGATAAGCAAGAAAAGAGAGAAGCAGGACTTGGGGCTCAATGCATAGGTTGGAGAGGATCGGGGGCCAGAAGAAGGGAGGGAAATCAATTCGGCTAGTCCCTAGTCCCTCCGGTTTCCCATTCCTCTTAAGGGGTATTTGTTGCACACCTTTTTTCAGCTTTGTTCTCCAAGCCTTCACAATCGATATATCCCAGGGCGAACTTGAATATGGACAAATTATGCAGCGCATCGAATATTGTTGTGATTCTGTGCCTCAAAGCCTTTAGAGTTCATCTTGGCACCAAAAGGGGCTCGCTTTGCTCCTTTGCTTTTTAGGTCTTGATTCCTTGTCCCGACCACATTTGCTCACGGAAGACATGTTGCGAAGATGTTCTTCATAATTGGAATCGCCGGCCACGGAGCCCACCACGGTATGTCTACCAGCCATCACATAGTTTGGTGGTTAACCAAAGCAAGTCTAGATTTGCTGCACTCAGATGCCGAAGAATCTCCAGAGCATACATCGAACAATAATACGTGATGGAGAGACGGACGGTTGGTAAATGTTTCACAATGGATTGAATTTCTGTTGTCTATTTCACAGGTGCTTCCCAGTGAGGGTTGCTCAAGCTGCCCCAGATTGTTGAACACTAAAGCGCCTTTGTGGCAATTTTTGTTGCCTCCACTCCAATGTAACAAGCCTTAGGCACAAACGAACAGGTGACCAAAACGGCCACGATCACTTCAGTCACAGCTTGTCAGGGCAGATCGAAGGTGCTTTCACCCAGGGCTTCGGCTGGGCCACGATCGAGGTGTCCTTGGGCGTGGTGGTGAGGATGTTTCGTGGATCTGGTGACAGAGCAAGGGCCGAAGGCGTTTTGCGTGATGGGTTCGTGATGCTGAGCACATGTTTCTGAGTTTGAGGTATCTGAAAAATATGGAATGATTGATGTTTGTTTGTCCAGGTGGTTTCCAACAAAATGATCGAAGAAAATGCTGTAAAAATATGCAGGGGGGCAAGTAGTTTCACATATTTTGTGGTGATCGCAAATCGTGTCCAGCAACATGAAGCCGCATGCTGCTTGCTGCCAGTGCCTGGTCTGGAAGCAGGGTGTCTTGTTCTACACAACCTGTTGTTTGTCGCTCTCACAAGGGTGAGCATGTTTTGAATCACAGTCGAATGTCTCCAAAGTTTGCACCTTGGCATTACGGGCATTTGTTCGATCTTCAATGTGGATTTCCTTTCCAACAAGCCACTCCGAAATTGGTGTTTTCAATAGGCATGCAAGTTGTCAAGGGAATGTCAGAGAGAGTATTTGATGGAGATGTGAGAAAGAACACACGATATCAAAGCCCGGGTCTACGCAGAGAAATGCAAGAGAGGTTCATAGCCCAGAGCATGTATAACATGCATACATCTCACTTAAGCCTCCGTTTCGGATTGCTGTGAAAAGATCAGAAGCTAATGAATATGCCCAGACCTTCTATAGACCACATGGGGAAGCCCATGTTTTCTGCCAGGAGACAGTTTGGGGCTGCTCTGAGTTCAGCTGGTTAAAGCCTGGCGTGTGCTTCACCCGTGGCCCGGGAACCTACAAGCGGGGATGCTCAGGCAGAAAGCGATTGCTTCAGCGTGGGACCGACAAACCTTTGTCGAAAAAGACCAAAAAGATCCAGAATAAAAGTACTGGTAGCATCTAAAAATGTACCGTTTGTTGTTCATCGTTTTCGTCTTACTTGTCATTGTCATTCTCACGCAGGCTAGCACTTCACACCGTATGGGGCTCGAAGTTTGCACCGATTCACCCACAAACAGCCCAGAGCATGGTCTTCCCAACTTGGAAAAGTCTTTAATTCCAACGAGAACAAAGTACTTCCGGGTTTTCCACATGGGCCAGTATCGCCCCTTTTGACGGTCGATATATCCTGAAAGGACTGACTTGAACAGCAGACGGAGGGGTCTTGACAGTTAAAGTGGATTGGTGTTGTTAGTTTCAGCATTTTTGGTTGGCAGCATTCACCATTCCCTCAATTCATTTAGCCATCCCCATGATAGACCTTAGACTCAGGGGACTTTTGCCTAGTTGAGCAGGGTCAGCAAGATGAAGGGATTTGTGGAGGCATTCCTCAAGTGAAAAGTACCCAGTGGTGGTTACGTAGTGTTACGATAACAGTGTATTCTTTGAGCCGCTCCCAATTCTCATATATTACTGTATATAATATGTGTACTGAATATTTGTACTCAGGGCGTGATGGGGGCCATCAAGTTAGGGTATTTTGCTCAAAGGGCATCCGAGGGTGTGCGCGTGTGTTCACGTCACTTCACCTTGACTGGCGACACTTCAAATTTGTAATGCTACGTCTTCCCTTTCACCTAGGATTTCTCTAGTGGCTCCCAAAAAGACTGATACCTGATTTTGCAATCCATGCCTCATTTTCAATTGGGGAGACTCACCTCACAAGTCCAAAGATCAAGCAAATGTTCCTCCTTTGGTTCATTTTGGCGGGCTTTTGCAGTTAAGTCAGGTCGGGTACTTGACCTTGTTCATGCTTGCCCAACCTGCTTTCTGATCGGCACATCTTCAACCTTCCTTTTTTGCCACATCTTTCTGGCCTGATCTATCCAGGATCCCCTCCTTCAATGACACGCCCGTAGACCTCCGGGTCACCTTGGTCAAGGTGCCGTTCGGCAACGCGCGCGAACGTGGAGATCGGGTTGAGATTTGTGTGTTCGATCGGTGTCTTCTTCCAAGAGGGACATCTTGCACATCTGGGTCTGAAGCTTTTTTCTGTACGTAGCGGAAGTGCCATGATCCCCCCAGCTTCAAACATGTTCTGTTCCTCTCAAGGGAGCAAGTCCTCCAAACACTATGAAACACTCAAGATCCTGGGCCTACATGTTTAGTTTGCAAGGCCCCATCCCCAAGTCACTGATAGCTTGGTAGTAATTAAGAATAGCTTGCAGTTGACGACTTCTGGATTCACTCTTGACGCAGACGCATTCCCTCTTTTGCGCTCAGCATCAGGCAACCACACACTTCTTTGCTGTATGCCTGTGTCGTTGAGCTGAGGACTCTGCGAATCCCAATGCCATCCATTCATCACGGGTTCGGGGTCCCAAGCAACTGTCACGCTGTTGGATTCGCGCAGCAAATTGAAGATCCAGGGGCACGTGGACCGCCCGCATACCTTGTAAGATTGGGCCAAGCCAAGGGTTGATTTGTATCAACTTGGGAGGGTGAGTGGAATTGAGAAGTTGGAAAACATTGTCAAAGTGCGCCACCTGCAGAGTCAGATGAGACGATGCCGCAGAGCGGTGTGTCATCTACTCCAAAGATCAAGTACGGTGGTGTGCCTGCGAGATATTTGGAATTGTATTTGATTGTCACATTTACGGCTGAATGATGGTAATCACATAGCTTGTTTAATGGCTCATATGTACTCATACCTGAGTCAGTGTTCAGGTATGCGGAGTTTGAAGAATTGTTTATCAATTTCTAGTTGCCTAGCTTGTGTGATCCACACAAAATGGAATCCCTAAAAACTGGGGACAATCGAAAGCTTACGTTCGTCATCGAATAGAGCTATGAAGATTCCTCCATGTGTTGCAAGAGAGACGGCCGAAATCAATGTCTTGGGCCCCAAACAGCGCCTCAAAGATCCTAATATACTTCGGTGGTCTAGCAACAGAGGTGTTTTTGGAAGGAGGACGTCCAAGCAAGTTGATTGTCGGTAAACGGGTGTAAACTTCGAATGCTTCTGGAGCCACCTGCTGCTACCTGTAGTTTTGGAGCTTGATTGGCCAATAATTGAACGGCTATCGCCTATGTAAGTGCCTAAGTGCCTTGCTGTGTGCAGCGTAGGGAGAAGCAATGCAATTGTTACCTCTATATAGTGCTTTAGCCTTCACTAGCAAATCTTGCCACAGAAGTGAATATAATTGGTTGGTAGAATGAAACTCTACAGACCATTTTTATATCTACTCCAGCTCACGTGTTTACCCTTACCTCGCAAGAAGACAAATCCACGAAACTTGGAAGATCCCAGTCCTCCTTTTTCCCCAAACTGTATTTACTGTTCCCCAAACAGTTTACTGTTGGGGACACAGGGTTTAGGCACGCGGCCAGAGACGGTGGTCAGTGTCTTTTTCCTAAGAGAGAACCCCGACAGTAATTGAACTGTTTGCCGAACTTACTTCACCGCCTTGTCCGGGCCTTGTCCGAGTCTGTGTACCGTTTGGCTGCGCCGTGGGCACTTGCTCATTCCACCTTGATGTTCCCTGTCTTCTCTGCCTCGTCGGCTTTCTTCTCCGCTCTTGTCCGGGCCTTGCTTGGCCCACCGCCTTGGCCAGGCATGTTGCATGTTTTCTTGTGGCCATGAAGCCTACAGTGATGCAACTGTTACTTTTTGTTCCCAACAATCATGTTTTTTTCTACGTAGACACTGCTCGCAAACAGCTGGAGCTAGAGGCATACACTGTGATTACAGACGTGTCCACCAACAATTGAATTTCAGGAATTGAAAAAGAAAAGCAAAAACTCATGCTGAAACTAGAATTTCATCCCAATCTGTTTGCAAGCCACTCATGTTTCATTGTTTCTTTCACCATGTGGATCGCTCCACTAGAAACAAAATGAATCGCAGAGTCCAGTTCGATGAAGCAAATGCGACCGATCGAGAGCCAATCACCTCAGATCCTTTGGGATCCACATGATGGGCAAGGCCTCGCATGTTTGGTCCCCCATCGCTCACCTGCCAGGCGGTTGGTGAACCACCCTTCTTCTTAGGTTCCTCCGCCTTCTTTGCTGCACCTCGGTTAGTCGGGAAGTGTTGCTTTTTGGTGGGGCGCAGATAGGTCTTAACTGTGCTCTGTTTGGAATTGAAGAAACTGAACGCACACGCCTTGGATTGCCCGATTGGGGATGTCCTAGGTGGCACCAAAAAGATCTCGCATGACCTCTTGCACCTGAATAGAGACTTCCTTTGTATGAAGCAGTATGGCCGAGGGACGGGTGGATCGAAAAAAAATAAATTGAAAATCTTGTAACTTGTGGAAGAGGGGGTTGGGGTTGTTGACTAAAGACCACGTATTTCTGTACAGTGTGATGTTTGTGTGCTAGGGATCCCTAGCATACCGTGGTGTAAGGGAGCTTGTCAACTTAATCCAGGAGTTTCTTCTCCATCCGTTCGCAGCCAAGTCCGACTAAGATCCAGTTCCCTGTCAGGAAGGCATGTAATCACGTGGCGAGAAGTATGAGAACCGCACCACTTCTTTGTCCCCTCAAATCTTGTACATGACCTCTCAAAAGCAGAAGGTAGTCTGTCGGTAGAAACAATTATGGAAACGGGTGAAAGAGTGACTAGAAGGGTAAGGTGTGACTTCTTACTCCTCCCTATTCCTGTGCATTCCTTACGGGTTTTGGACAAGAGGATTTGGGGCGCAGGCTTGTCTTTCTTGCGCTTTGCTGCGGATGTTGCTTCCAATAAACCCCTCCGAATCCAGCAGCCAGAATCTTACAATGACCTAGCCTGTAACTTGCCAAGCACCTTGGATTAGGAACCCGCCAATTGCTGCCGCTCCCAAACTGCTTGATTACCATCCATTTCAGCCTGATCACCCAAGGCAAGAGCGGCCATCGCCTCTGCTCGGGAGGATCGAAGTATGATCGTTGGCTTCACGGAGCATGAAATCTTCAGGCTTTGCAGTTTCAAAGCTTCAAAAAAGTGTGGGGCAATCCTCCAAGTGAGTGAGTAGTGAGTAGTACTGCTCGTGTCCACAGTCCCCCACGGGTTTGGATGAGGTTGTACAAACCCACCCTGCTTCAAGGGATTCTGATCCTTCTCAAATCCGCATACCTGAGAAGGTTTTTGGATTGAACTCAACTCCATAGAGGCCGGTCGGACAGTATCTCCCCCACTTTGCAGCGTGGCCAGTAGTTGAAGACATATCATCATTACAAAGGTATATGTGTTCTGTCATGTTTTTGCCTATTGGATCTGTGCGGTCGGACTGCGTTCGCCAGGACACTGGTGCTGCGCCCCACGACTACTTCGTGGTGGACCTGCCGCTGACGCCGGAGCGAATCCGCCTCGCTGGGCCCCCGGGGGGGCCATGGAGCGAAGAAGCCAAGATTCTCGAGCAGTCGGGTGGTTCCAAAAATAAAGTATTTACAAGCATTTAAAGGTTAAAAGATTCAATCCCGATTTAGATAGTGTTTTGACGGAACAGAAATGCTTGCGAATCAGCCTTGACGTGAAACGCGGCTTGTTGGACGCTGACACGGAAACTCTTGGTCTGGAGGGTTCTTGGAGTTGTTGCGGTCGCAACAGTATGGTGCGGATTTGTAGGAATCGTTGGTCCTTGGTAGATTGACAGGTGCTTTTTCGGTCAGGGTTCAGAAAAGGTGTGTTTCCTGTCCTTTCGAAAATGACACCATAAATTATAAGAATGAGTCTATAAATAAGGATTTGCATGATTTGGGCTATCGGAGTTTTTGAGCTTGTTGTTGCTCGAGCTTACTTTTCCTTTCAGCACTAATTACTGTGGCATCTCTTTAAACTCAAAGGCCCGCCATATTCACAGGGCCCAGGATCAATTAATCTGTGATTTGGCTGCAGGGAGCGAGCTCCCAAGCCATACTCTCACACAGGAATAGTGCCTGGGACTCCCGATCTAGCTGAACCGACCCATGAAGCAAATTGGCACAAGCAAGATAGACCCACCCAGCCTCAAAACTCCCAGCTTGATTTTGCTGAGGCCTCGAAACCATGACATGTTTTGCTAAGGCCTGCAATGATCCCTTGACCTCCCGCTTTGCGTCCAGCCGTCAGCAGCCCTGGAGGATGTGTAGGTGAAGCCTTCCAGGTTTGTTCAGTTTTCTCAGATCTACATGCCGTAGAAGACCAAGGGTCTATAATGGTCTATATATAGGTTTCTTTCCTGCAGAGATGTGTGTATTATTTTTCACTTGAAATCTTGGTTTTGCCCGACAAATCAACAGCATGATCCACCAAAGTGGAGCTGTGATCATTGGTACTATGTTTGTTCATTGAAAAGTGCACATTCATGGCTTCACGGGAAGCTCCCGCAACTTTTGGAACGGCATGCATACTGTGCGTCACTGAAATCTGTGTGGGGTAGCTCAATCGTTCCTGATTCTAGTTCTTGGTTGGACCGCGCGTTCTCAATCGTCTTAGACAGAACAGTAGCTGTTCAATCACTTTCAGGCTTTGATTACCATGTAAAGTCACAAGTGCATCTTTTGGCTCAATAGACTAGGCCCTAGGCCCAAGTTTTACAAAGAACCGGATGTTTGGTTTGGTGGACGAGCAGTTTCCCAGTGGCGAGAGTTCAGGGGATTTGGGTTTTTTGGCAAACTGAGCCTTCATGTTAAATATCCAGTTCGCCGAATCCTATCCACATTCAGTCACCCTGGTCGTCAGCGGGCCGCAAGTGATTTTTGGCCAAAGTCAGCCACGTGAAGCCCACTCCCACCCCACGTTGCTGTAGTCCTTTTGAAGTGATACCGTGGTATCAGTGATACCTGGAACACGACGCACCGACCACAATACCAAAGAAACACAACTTTTCTTGGTGAAGAAGAATAATGTATGAAAAAAGAGAAGCTAAGGCCTCATCTTCGTTGTTTCCTTTTCTATAAAGCGAAAAGCTGTTCTTCGCCATCCAACTTGTGACTTCAATAATTCCACTTAGGTACGTCTTCCACAGCGGTCCAAGACATTGGCAATGCCGACTTGCTAATGGACTTTTTCCTCATACTAAAGATGTCCAAGGTTCCATGACCTTAAAGCATCTTAGTTTGATTTCTGTCTATGTTTTCACTCAAAAGCTGGCTAAATTCAAATCAGGACATTGTCTCCCTATATTGCTTAGCTGAAGAAAGTACTGTTCATGGCTAGGTGTTTGGAATTATGGAGAAGTGTTTTGGCCTCCGTTCAGAAGGTGTATTGATTGAAAGCCTTCTAGGAAAATTATAGGTACAACTGGTACAACTCATTGTAGAACTCAAACCAGGTGCAAGACTCTTGTTGCAAGGGCCCTAGGACCTCACCACTTCATGTACTTCCTCGTTAGGCAACAACACTGCAGAGCTTTCAATGAAACATACAGTAGGAGTCATTCATCACTAGAAAGAAGGGATCATGTGCAGCAGATCTTCTATCAGTCTATCCACACTCATAGGGTTTATTAAAGTGCTGGACTCTGTCCGTCTTTGCCAAATGGCACAGGCCCCAGACCCAGCATCTTCGTTTGAGGAGAGGCTCTGGGGTACGGGATGGAGGGCAGATGGGTGGCTAGGGCTTCTTCTGCGAGTAGATCCGAGTAGATGATCGTCTTGACGGAGGAGTACAGTGTATCTCCAGGTGTATACTAAGCAAACGAGCACACTAGTGACCAGTCACTTCCTTTGATTCTTAGGCAAATGATTGCACTATTGAAGGTCAGAACGCATGGCGTGGATACGACGCCCTCTCTCACGTAGGCCTCAACATCTCTCCCTCCAAGCATGTGCCGGATGCGGATGAGGCTTCTCTCGGCACATCCACGTACATACACCTGCACTCAGCCATGTAAGTCGTCAACCACCTGTTCATCCTCATATGCTTCTGGCTTGCACTGTCTGATCATTCAAGATTCAGTAAGTTTTAAAGGGCCATGCATTCTTCTAGCCAATCTACTAAAGATACATAAATTATATCCACAATAGGTATCACATGACACGTTCTTCTAGTGTAGTCACCTGGTGCGAGAGGCCACGAAGCCCAATCACGCTACCAGTATCCAGAAAAGTTTAGGACAACAGGCTGATGGACTGCACACCCTTGTGGCTTATCTACAGTCTACAGGTTTTGTTTTGAATTTCCCTATCCAAATTTCAACCAATGCAATTGAGTTCACACGAGGTGTCCCAATCCCCATTCCGAATGTGTTGCTTATGTTTTGACAGCTTAATGATCACCGCAAAGCCGGGACAAATCTTGATACTGCGGTGCCTCGTGACCAAGCAAGCCTAAGTTCCACTCCATTATTGGATAGGTCTCCCTCCCCATGTTTGTCACATCGTCCTTGGTGAGCTGTTTGGTGCTTCTTTCTGGGATTGCTTTTGGTTTTTGGTGTTCTGTTTACTGTAGCTTCTTTTGCCGTGCATCGGTCTTCTCGGGTGATTCGCTATATGAACGATGATATAATCCAGTGAAATAGTCGGATGTAGCAGGACTGTTGCGAAGAATTCTACAGAAGTCATGTGACATTTGCCCAACATTGTACTGGACATGACCCATCGTTTCCAGCCGTGCAGTTGCCAAGGCAGTCGAACAAGAGACGACCGGTTCAGGACCCGTTGTGCAGTGAGGCATTTTTGGCACACTTGACGCGCTGAACACCTGCCGGCGGCGTGCCGCGAACACCGCAGCGCGAAGCATCTAGAAGCAGCTAGAAGAAGCTGCTCAGAATGCTGCCAAATACACTACCAAAGCCAGTGGTTGCAGTCTGGTGGAAGACAAGAACATGGCACGATGCCCCACTTTATGAATGCTGGTCGCGTCTCCCTGTATCTATGGGAAGGCAGAGATGCAATGCATTGAGATATATGTATGTATGGGATATCACAAGCCCTCCAAGACTGGTGTCCCATCAGGTTATGTTTCGTTTTGGTGCCTGTAAGAAGCGGTCGTGATTGGTTGGCAACAGCGGCCTCAAAGTTGAGCAATACGACAATGCTTTATTGGTTTCGGATTTCTCCACACTCGATTACCACTTGACAACCACAGACAAAAACATACAAAAACCTTGGCTCAAGTTAGCAATAGCCTCAATCACCTACAGGCCTTCTAGAACCCTACTTAATTAAGTAGGCGGCGCCTACTTAATTAAGTAAGGGAGAGGTAGCTAGTACCTTACTCGTACGCTACTAGCATGGACGCAGGTTAGCTCACGCTTCTTCAAGGAAGCTCCCCCCGCCTGAAGGGGGGGCTTCCTTGAAGAAGCGCTCGCACTAATCATGTGGTTCCTAGATTTTTTTGTTCAAGGATGTTCAAGGGCAACTTAACTATAAAACCAAAAATGAAATCAAAAAGATTCTTGGCGTTGCGAATGTGGCACCCTCTGCTTGACTTTTCTCAGCTCGGCTTTTTACGTGGGGCCTTGCCCCTCACCTCGTCAATCGGCGCCGACGTGCCAATTGACCTTGCGGTTTTTCTCCATCGTCGTGTGACACAGGTCCTTTGGACTTCGGAACAGAGCAAAAGCAATCTGCGGAAATTAGTCTATACGCCGTCGCAAATACTTCTACGGACCACTTCTTTTAGTGACAAGCCATTGGACGGAGGGTGTTGCTGGCAGGAGCTGTCTTTGCCTTGCAATCAACCTTGTTGTCAGAAGAAGTTGCTTTCTTAAGGATGTCAGTCATGGCTGGCAGGTCCTTAGTCTTTTGGTGTATTGCGACAATCCAAATCTTCTCCGAAGTCAACGAGGGGCCATGCTACGACAAACATTTCTTGGTCATAGAAATCAAGTATGCCCCTGGACCAAGAATAAATCCAATATACAAATAGAATCAATAAATTAAAGAATAAATTCTATATGATTACTATGTATAGTATTTAAATATGCGATAACATAAATATGATTGATTTATGTGTTAAGTTAATAATTTAATTTGTTAGGTGAGGGTAAGTAATTTTATTCGTTATATTTGTTTGTATTTGTTTCGATATTGATTTGATGTTATTATATATTTGAATATGTTTTTTATTTTTGGAATTTTTGATGTATAAATTGATTGTTTTAAATTTAGGATTTAAAGCGCCACTTTTAGATTAAGTGGTTCGTAGTCGTTTATGAGGGCCGGGTGTTATATTTTTTTGATTTAAATTTTTTGGGTTATATTTTCGTAATTTTTTTTGTTGGTTGCGTATATTTTGTTGAAGATTATTATTTTGAAAAGTCTGGGAGGTATAAAAATTGATATAGAATTTTTTTAATTGGTTATTTTGCTTGGCGCGAGGATTATTTAGAAATTTTTTGCTTTGAACGAAAATATAAATTATTACGATTTATGGAATTCTTTTTCTACGAAATTATATGAGGTTTGGGCTTTTGATAGCTACGGTTAAATTTATGTTTGGTCGCGTATAATATATATTAGTATTTTCGGGAATTATTTAGAAGATTGATAATTGTACGATAGGAATTAAAATTAATATATATTATATTTGGTATTTATTTTATAATTTGGAATGCTTCGAAGGTATTGATTTATTAAGAATTATTTTTTTAGTTAAATTTTTTTGTAATAAGAAATGGGATGGCATTTTATGGCTATTTGGAGTATATTTGGGTGGCATTATATTTATTTGGTTTGTAAATAAGTTTTTATTTTGTTGTTGGTTCGTACCATCGTTGTTGTAGTTGATTATATTATTATAATTTCTTTTATGGAAGGACGCTTTTTGCATAACGAACATTTGATTGTTTTAATCGTTTATTAACATATTTAGAATGCATATAATGGTATTTAATTTCTCCTTTTAAAATAATTTAAATGTTGGTATATTTTGTAAAATTGCTTACATCATATCCTTAAAATACATTATTTGATTGATCTTGGAAATTTCAATACGGTTCTTCGTATTGATTTGTCGTTCGTAGGATTTGAAGACCCTAAACAATTTCCTATTATATATACGAACAACCATATTCTGCAATAGATCCGAAGACAACAAGACCTCATATTTTTGCACATGGTGAATATGATAATCGCAGATTTAATTTCGCCGCATACGATCGTTTACGAACACGCACTTCGAAAGGAATTTTGGCATTAATAGATCTTATTATTATTCTTTACTGGTAATATTTCCGTAATGGCATGTCCCTCAAATTATATATTTTCTTCTAAATAGGATTGATAGATTTGCCATGAAACAGGCCTATCATACACAGATAGATAATTAGATTTATTTTGAGACTTCTATACGGCACCTGATTCATGGCATGTCTTTCATCCGTGACCGGAATGCATAGGACAATATGCTAGCCCTCGAAATCAGTCTTCGTGAATTGAATATTTAATAATTTCTAAAACAACGACCTCGCCGCTCTGTCGCTTCCCAACTTCAATCCATTTCCTCCAGGATGGGGAATGCCCGTAGGGAGGCCCTTCGCGTCCGAGGCAGATTATTGTAATCCATGTTTTTGTATTAGAGATATGTCACGAGTTATTTAGGATGTTAGAAATAAATACGAATATTTAATCGAGTCAAGAAACGATTGAAACTCGAGATTATTCTTGCTGAAGGTATTGACAGAAGCAAAATGCCCTCAAGGCTGAATTTGCTGGGATGCCTGGAAACCTTTCCAGCCTTGTAGCTGGTGTCGGGGGCAGACACCCACTTCCACTGCAAATCTGCTTCCGACGCAAGCGTATCTATTAGGCGGCTAGTATGCAGGAACAAACCTCGCTTGAAGAACGGCTTGCCAAACGAGCGCGAGTAGCCAACGATGCCAAAAAACGACGTTTACTTTAGCCAAACCCCAATAAGAATGACTCGACCTGGGTTCCTGCCCTGGTAAATCTTACAAGCAGTGTTCCATATTTTGCTCCTTGTTTTGTTTCCTCTTTGCTTGGTTTGGTTAGTTGTTCTTGTTGTTTTGTTGCTCTTTTTGTTGGTCGCCATGTTCTCCCTGTCTTCTTCTACCATCGGCATTTTGGCTCGAGACAACGGGACAACTAGACACAGCCAACTACTGCACGTAGGCAACATGCCCTTTGCTTCGTCGCGAGATGGGTTGGAGCGAAAACAAGTAGTACCTTTTCTCTCGCCATCGCACGAAGTGCAGCCATGGGCTCGTTTGCGGATTGCGTTCCGGAACATGGCATGAGTGACTTGTCTGAACATCTCCATGCGATCGCTACCAAACGGCACCGGCTTTATATCATTGCCTGTAGGCTACGGCATAATAAACAGCATTTTCATGTACGCATTGCCGGGATGCTCCCAGCGAGGAATAAAATGTTAGGTGCCTTTCGGGCGATTGATCCGGGTCTACCGCCTAGCACAAATATCCTGTGCTCTTCGCCAGTTAGGTGCCCAATTAAAGGACGGTACTTTAGTCTGTCCGTTAGCGTCAGATAAGGGGGAAGTGTTCTTCACTCTGAATGGTATCCTCCTCCCAGGCAACACAGTTAGCAAGCGGTACGTTTTGCACCAACATCTGGCGAACCTTGGGCTAGCCGGCGCTGAGGTTGTCTGGGATGTGGGTCAACGAGATAGACAAGGCGCATTCATCTTGTTGTTCAAATTTTCCAGAGCACCTTGCGACCATATATCCTTTGTGTTTTCTTTCAAATTCCTGTGCTATTGAAAGCATGCATTGAAACGTGCAAGCCCCTAGTACCACGTGAAACAGTGAAACTCCGCTATCCTATGTGCTTCGTGCTGTACAGGCTGTACAATCTGTATTCATCCAGGATTACCACTAGGGTGGCAGCCTGGGCACTGTCTAGCCGCTCAGTATGCATGCGCACCCACGAAGTTGCTGGCTCTTGCATTGGTTAAATTAGGACCAGCACATGGGTGCAAGTCTGAGCTATTGGCTTAGCTTAACATTTCAATATCCCTACGCATTTCAATATGGAATTCATCCATCCATCTGTCCTTGGCGTTTGCCGGGAGGAAACGAATCCATTTTGGTGTGTCCAATTATTGACAATTCTCAAAGGCATTGGCCCGAGCAGTGAAAACGCCGCCCTCAATGATGAATTAACACTTGAGGCCAAGGGGGGGGGCGAAAGCTAGCGCTCCAGAATGGGAAAGTGGAGGGCAGCGAGGTAGGAAAAAATACGGCGCTCTTTTTGGAGGCAGGGGTGAAGAGTCCTTTATATGTGGCTCTTTGCCCGGATCCTCCTGCGAGAGAAGAGAGAGAAGAGAGACGGAAAGACGAGAGACAGAGAGGAGAGAGAGAGAGAGAGAGAGGAGAGAGAGATGAGAGAGATGAGAAAGAGATGAGAAAGAGATGAGAAAGAGATGAGAAAGAGATGAGAAAGAGATGAGAGAGAGATGAGAGAGAGATGAGAGAGAGATGAGAGAGATGAGAGAGAGATGAGAGAGAGATGAGAGAGATGAGAGAG